TGCCAGGAATGTATACTGTCCCCAAAGTCGGAGAATTGAGTGTTGTAAGAAGAGAGAGAGTGATCGCCCATGTCAAATGCCACTGAGAGTAAGATGTGGGCTGAGAGTTGGCCTTAGGATTTGGGGGCAGGTAGGTCACCTATGGCCCCAATAAACATGCTTACCGTGAAGTGGATCTGAGAGAGAATGGAAGGTCAGGGAGGGACAAGAGGAAAGTTGGACAATTCTTTTGAGGAGTCCTTTGAGGACATGGTAAGAAATCTGAGGCCAAGAGAGAGGCTTTTAAGCTGAGAGATATTATAATATGTTTTATGATAATGTTATCAATCGAGCAGGAGGGGAAAGTGACCCCACGTGACTTGTCTCTTGACAAGTCTGAGAGTAGGCAAGGGGGACCGGGGGCCAGGGTGTGAAGGGAGACCCCTTTTATTTGGGGGCATCAACAGTTCATCCACAGGGCTGGGCTTGTGGCTCAGTGGCAGAGCACTTGCCTAGCATGTGGGAGGCACTGGGTTCGATCCTCGGGACCGCATAAAAATAAATAAAATAAAGATATTATGGCCACCTACAACTAAAAAAAAAAAATTTAAACCCAATTCATCCATAAAGATGATGGGGTAGGTAGGCAGAGTATGTGGGTGAGCAGAGGTGTTTACAGGAGCCTGCAGATGGTCTTATCTGATGGCTTCTGTTTCCTCAGTGACATAGGAAGCAATCTCATCAGTGAAGAGGGTGGATGAGGGAGGAGGTGTTAGAGATTCAAAGAGAGAGGAGAAAAAGTGTGAAATGCTTATCTGAAAGATTGGAAATGTAAAGGTCCATTTTATGATGGTTGTTAAGAATTTAAAGTGACACCATTCCATATGGTTTTGTGGGATTGTTGTTTTGTTTTTTGTTTTTTCTCTTCTTCTTCTTCTTCTTCTTCTCCAGATATGTACAGCTACTGGGGTACAAATCAGAGTAGGTAGAGAATTGGGCTTAACTGGGATTAAGTGGTCAAGTGAATAGGTCAGAGAGAGGAGAAGGGACTGGGGTGGGGTGCACACATGACATCATTATCATAGCAGTTTGGAATTTGATCCAGAAGAGAAGTTAGGTGATGAGGGACGTGAAGGACAGTGAGGTTGCTAGTGTCACGTCTTAGAGACCACAGCAGAGTCAAAGAAGTGGAGTTAGCCAACTGTTCACGGAATGGAAGGATGCGCAAAGAGGGGGCACCTACACCTGAGATTTTTGAAGATGGTGGAGTTATTAGTAACAACAAGGCCAAGGTATGGCATTGGGAGTGGGGGTTGAAATGAGGTAGAAGAAAAAAATCTTTGCAGGTGATGGCCCTGAGGGACTGAGATGCCAAGGTGCTGGTAGCACCAAAAATGATGACCCCCATAGGGCTGGAAAAACCATGAGTCAGGAGCCAAAATCTTCCACAAATGAGGGGCAGGGACAGAGAATGGAGGGGGAACACTTGCTTCAAAGAAGCCAAAGAACTTTCTGGAGCAAGGAGAAAGCAGCAATGAGAAGGGGGTTGCGTGGTTCACCTCCAGCCCCTGAAGTATGTAGGATTTGAGGTTAAAAGAAAAACCATCCACTATTTAAGGAGGATTCTGAAACAGTGTTCTGAGGGGGAGACAGTTATAGTCTTCATACTCCAGTAACAGACCTGGCCAGGATACTCTCAGGATAATAGTATCAGACAGTCATGGGTGTGCATTCACACACACACACACACACACACACACACGCCCTCCCCTCCTGATGGCAGATCTGTAGCAGTGGATTTCCAAACAAATTTAACACAGGTCTGAGAAGTAGGAAAGGGCTCAGGTGTTGGTAGACCCCCATCTCCTGACTGCCACTCTCTCAATACCACCACCCGCCTGAGTCTTTCACAGCTAGGAAAACTGAGCTCAGAGAGTAAAGTGGTTCAACAGTAAGTGGCAGAGCTCTGTGAATGAGCCCTGTGGCTTTTGACTCTCCCCAACCCCGAGCTCAGACTCCCAGAGAGAGATTTGTCTGGAGATACTTGGTGAAAATGCACAATTGGCTGGTGCAGGCATGACCCAGGAATGAGCCTTTTAATGGCCCCACAGCTGATTTTTATTCTGACATAAATTTGGAGATGCTATAGATCACCACACTACCCTCTCTATTGACTGACTTTGTACTGTTGAGAAAGTTCCCTCCATTTCCCAGTCTTGGAACTGGGCACCATGACAATGACCCATTGCCCTGTGCTAGTTGCCCCCAGAACCTCTTCAATGTGACGTCTTAATTTTAAAAAACTGGAAACTCAATTTTCTAGCTAATGGATAGAATGAGAGTTAATATCAATACACCCCCCTTGGGTTTGGAGGGGCTATAAATAAGGGCTACAGGTTCTGAGGAGACACCCATCCCATCTCCCTCACTTACCAGCATGGAGTGAAGCCAAGTTATGTAGCTCCATTTGCCTATCTGTGTAAAGTTATAATTCATATCTATCTTGTGAGGTTGTTGCAAAATTTGGAAATATTGTATGTAAAGGTTTATGGGTGATATTTGTAAAACTGGAATACGGTAGCTTCAGGTAATACAAATAAAATTAGCAGGAGTCATTGTTATTGGGACTTCCTAATCTAGCTTTGGTCCTGTCATAAACCAGTCAAGGAGATATGATTCTGAGTCCTGTCATGGCCAGCACCAGTGGGCTTGGGAGGACAGCCCCCTGCCAGGAGCTGCCCTTGGGAAAACTCAGTGAGGTGGTTCCAATCAATACATTAACATTTGCTTTGTCCTCCAGCCTCACGCCCATGTTGACACAAGTGGCCATTAGGGGACAATGAGCAGCAGCAAAAGTAATGGGCTGGAAGGAGGCGGCAGCATGTTGGATTTGGCTCTTGAGAAGATAGCGTTTTAATCAGTCACAGGTTGTCATTCACGTCTGGGTTAAAGTTGGGTTGAGATCAGGCACCTTATCACTCCTGAGACCTCCCTCAGAAACACTGCAGATTCTGAACTCAACAAAAATGTAAAAAAAAAAAAAAAAAATCACTCTCAAGATCTCAAAGGCTTCTCACTGAACCCCATAGGAAGCGCTGCCTTCAGCAGGAATTTTACTGCATGAATTATGTCATGTGAGGGGGAGATATGTCATACCCTGTCCTCTAGAGAGGAGAGAAAGCCACCTAACAGCACTGGATCAAGCTGACGAAGCAATCCTGAACTTGAATAAAAGTTCTGCCCCTGAAACTGCAACTTGGAACCATTTCTTCTCCTTTCTCAAAGTGACCAAAATGCAGCCAGAGAGAAGCGCAGACTTACTTTAGGCCCTGCCTACCTGTAAGATTCCCTAACTTGTTTATCACCAGCTTGAAAAGAGGAGCAATAAATGGTTACTTACATTAATAATTTGTCCATATAATGGGATAGTGGGTGGTCATTAATGGTGCTGGTATTCCTGGTGTCATCATGGAAAGACTAGACCATAATATATTATTAAGCAAAAAGAAAAAAAAAAGCAAGATATAAAACTAGTTAGCAGTAGTCCACTCTTAAAGGGGAAAAATTGCATGCATGTGCGCGCACATACAATTTAACTCTACCCATCTCTAAGTTGGGGTTCTCTCAACTTTGACTACCAAAAAATGAGGCAAACTCATGTTTCCAGGAGGGGGTGATGGTATTTTCAATTCCCTTATTTATGACTTTCGAGTTAGCTCTCCAAGTTCTCTTCATTTAATATATATTGTTGGTATGATTTTTAAAACGTAAGAAAAGAAAAAAATAAGAATAATAAAATGGCAGCACCAGACAGACACCATGGTGCTCTTTGTAATGATTTTTTAAAAGGCAACACCTAAAAATCTAATGCAGGGAGAAAGTCAAATGAAATATGGTATATTCACAGAACGAAATAGTAACTGTCACTACATTTTCATTTTAAAGACTCTGTGACAACATGGGGAGGCAGATGATGCAGACAGACCCTCTCAACACCATTCCAGTACTTTGCTTCCTGTCCAAGGACTGAACGATTAAGGATTATGTTTTCCATAACCCATCATGGCTTGGGTCCCACGGGTGACCTTATTCTGATAAGCAGTTGTCTCTGTGGCTGCTGCTGCAGCTACTACCAGGTCTTAATAGGTATATCCAGAAAGCCCAAGCTGGTACATGCTGCTCCATCCTGGGCTTCTGAAATAGACCTCTTTCTGCTTAAAATTAAAAGACACCAAGGAGGAAGGCTTGTTATCATATTTGTTTTCCTTCTAAAAAGGGAGGAACAGAAGGCAGGGTGGTGGCTCAGGCCTGTAATCCCAGCAGCTCCGGAAGCTGAGGCAGGAGCATTGCAAATTCAAGGCTGGTCTCAGCAACTTAGCGAGGTCTTAAGCAACTTAGCAAGACCTTACTCAAAATAAAAATAATAAAAAGGGGTGGAGATGTGGCTAGATGGGTAAGTGCCGGTGGATTCAATCCCTGGTACCAAAAAAAAAAAAATGTGAAAAAACAAACCTCCCATTGTTCAGAAAGTATAAAAACCTTATACAGAAAAAAAGATCAGAAACCAATGAAAACAAATTATGAGAGTGAGGGATTGAAATCATAGGAGAACTTTTCTCTTTTTTAATGTTTCTATAAGTTAAAAAATTATCCAATACGAGTGTTATTTACAATTCTTGGAAATTTAATTTTAGAGGAAGAAAGCAACTGTCTCTTGATTTTCTCCGTAGAACAAAGAGGATTTTGTGGTCTCCTCACTGTACCTGTGTGTCCCAGGGAAGGGATGGGAGGCCCTGCCTACCCCAGCCTCTCTTCCTCTCTTCTCTGATTCCTTTTTCCCCCACTGTGTCTATTCTTCTTTTCTCTATTTAATATTGGCATTTGAGGACACATCTGGTCTCCCAGAGAGTTTCCTTCCTCCAAATCCTCCATCCGAGATTAAATAATAAATCACGAAAAGGGCAAATCATGGTGATCCCACCAAGCATCGTGATACACAACTGCAGACCTTTGGGCCCAAGATGAGTAACAAACTTGGTTTATTCTGTATCCCACATCCCTGAATAAAGCAAACTTTCCCCCTGTCCATCCCGAGCTGTCAAGTGGTGAGATAATATCAGGATTAAGTGAAGCGGCAAAGAGAGAGAAGCCTCTTCGGTCACAAGATGCAGCTTCTGAGTGTTGCAGAACCTCTGAACTACAGCCTGCACCCATCCAGCCACCGCGACAGAGTGTCAGAAAACTGGCAGTTCCGGGTCCAGTTGAGCCTACAGGGAGGAAGGTCAGGGAGAGTGATCAGGAGGGAGAACTCCTTCAAGTCAGCGCTCAGGATGCCAGGGTTCCCACCCCAGCACAGTCCGTTTACACTGCTTGCCTGGCCCCTGGAGACACCATACCCTGACATGAAGGCTGGTGCTTCCCCTGTCCCAGGCCCATACCTCTCTCACCTTGCAACTTAAGCCTCTGATGGTTTAGAGGGGCTTGAACCGTGAACCACAAAGTTCTCCTCAATCCTTCAAGGTAAGGATTAGCTTCTCTGAAATGAGCTTTAGAGAAGTTCTGACTGTTCACATGGTGTGTCCAGAACACTTGTCCTTGGGCCAGGCCCCCTTTCGCCTTTCCGTGCACCTACTTCACTCCTCAAATACCTTTCAACTCCCCAATCCTCCTAGGACAAAGGAACTGAGTTTCTCCAATCTTTTTTTTTTTCCTGGTGCCCCTAAGAGTTATTGCTCATTTTCCACCCAGTGCTAGCACCCAGCTACAGGTTGGGGAGGTACCAGCTTAGCTGCAGCTAACTTAGACAGACAGGCCTCCAGGGGTCTTCCAGGGTAGAGGGTCCCATCCTGGAAGAAGGGAACACATCCCCCTCTCCCCACTGTAGCCATAGAGAAGAGCAGAAAACACACACACACACACACACACACACACACACACAAACATTTTCAGGAACACCAAGGGCTAGACAATGCCGAAGGGACTCCTGGGATATCTGGCTCTTGATCCACTTGCCCCCTGTCTGCCCTGACCTTGAAGAGTGGCCCCCATCTGAGCTTGGGAAAGCCATGGCTGCCTATTAGCTTGATGAGAGGTCACTTCACCTGGAGCCTGAGCAAATAAGGACTTGACACACAACAAAGATGACTTTAGCTTGTTAGTGCTTACCCCAGAAGGTCAGCCACATTTACCAATTAATTGGAAAGTCAAGACCATGTATGAAAGGTGTTTCAAGCATTCAGGAAACAGTTAACTTTAATGAGGGGACATCCACTTTCATAGGCAATCTATTCAGTTAGTGGGTATAAATGGATTAACGAATAAATGGTGTTGAGACCAATGACTAATCATTTAAAAAAATATAAAGCTGGATCCCTGCCTTTTTATACCCAAATAAATTTCAAGGGGGCCTAAATTTTAAGCACAAAACCAAAAATTGTTAAAATTATATTTTTAATTTATTTAAAAACAATTCAATATAGGGCTTATTTTGTCTAGCATTGTCTAGCAATGGGCTCAATTTCTCTATAATCTTAAGAGTATGAAAGACTTTTCTAAGAAGGAAATGTCATATAAACCCAGAAGCTGCAAAAGAAAAGATTGAGGGATTTAAGTTTGTGAAATTATAAAACTCGTGTGAGCAAAAATACTATATACAAAGTCAAAATACAAATAACAAACCTGAAAACAATGGTTCACGCAGAGATGTCCCTCATTTACAGGACACAGAAAAGAGCGAAAAAGAAGAAATTTGGAGGAATTTTCTTCCGAAAACAACATACCACAGAATCCACAAGTAAATTTCATAAAACTGAACTCCTCAGTAAGCTATATCCAGACATGACCTCTGGAAAAAGCTAAAGAGATACTTTTAGAAAGAAGGACAGCCGTTTGAATTTTAAAAAGTAGATGGATAAGTTAACACAGAATTGCCAAGAAACTAAAAGTGGAGTAACCCAAATTAGACATGTATTTGTAGCAAAAAATCATGTAACTACAGAGAAATGGAAAGGAACATTCTCAATTTAACTAAGAATAGCTCAGAAAACTTAAAGCATTACATGTAATAAATGACAAAATATGAATTTCTTCCTTGTAAGATTAGGAACAAGACAAGATGCCACTATCCTCACATCTATTTAGCATTTTCTAGAGATTCCAGCAAAAGCAATAAGTCAAGAAAAAGAAAGAAAAGGTGTTGTAGAGTCAAGTATGAAAGGAAAGCAGTAAAATTCATAGGGAAAAAATGGAGAATATCATTATGACCAAGAAATACCTGTGACAATATGAACAAATATAATATTGAGTAAGAGAATTCAGACACAGGACCAACCATGAACATTTTAGAAGACTCTCCCGTATAAATACCTGGCAAAGGGGGAAATTAAGAGATGCAGTTATTTTTGGCAACAAATACAGTTAGTTAATATGCTGAACTGTAAGGAGCTCCTTCAAATCAATATTGATGACTTGAGCTTTTAAAAAAAAAGGGCAAAGGACAGGGACAGGGTAAAAAAAATCACAAAAGAATATCACTATAAAAAAACCAGGGGCTGGGGATGTGGCTCAAGCGGTAGCGCGCTCGCCTGGCATGCGTGCGGCGAGGGTTCGATCCTCAGCACCACATACCAACAAAGATGTTGTGTCCGCTGAAAACTAAAAAATAAATATTAAAAATTCTCTCTCTCTCTCTCTCTCTCTCTCTCTCTCTCTCTCTCTCTCCCCCCCCCCTCTCACTCTCAAAAAAAAAACAGGAGGAAATACCTAATAGAGTATCATATATACCCCCCCAAAAAAAGAATGATTGCTATTCACCTTTCAAATGGCAAAGGTTTTGTGATCAGTAAAGAGGCACTTGCTAAACTCTTTATAGATATGCAAATTGGTACAAGCTTGCTGGAGAGTCATTTCCCAATACACATCAGGAACCTCAAAAGTAAGCTTGGAATGGAACCACATTTGACCCAGTTATCCCACCCCTCCTCATAGAATCAAAGCACTTAAAATCAGCATACTACAGTGACCTGGCCACATCAATGTTTATAGCAGCTCAATTTACAATAGCTAAGCTATGGAACCAACCTAGGAGCCCTTCAACAGATGAATGGATAAAGAAAATGTGGTACATATATGAAATGGAATATGGAATATGACTTAGCCATAAAGAAGAATTAAATTATGACATTTGCCAGCAAATGGATGGAACTGGAGACTATCATGTTAAGTGAAATAAGCCAATGCCAAATGTTCTCTCTGATATGTGGATGTTGACTCACAATAGGCTGGGAGTAGGGAGAAGTGGAGGTTCACCAGATTGGACAGGGGGAATTGGAGAGAAGAGAAGGGAAATGGGATTGGGAAAGACAGTAGAATGAATCAAACATTACTTTCTATGTTCATATATGAATACATGACCAGCGAAACTCTACATCACGTACAACCACAAGAAGGGGAAGTTATATTCCATGTATGTATAATATGTCAAAATACATTCTTACGTCATGTGTAACTAAAAAGAACAAAAATAATTTTAAAACTTTTTAAAAAGTACCTCAAAAGTATTCAAAGATCTTGTAAGAATTTATAAGAAAGAAATAATCAGGGATATTCACAGAGAGTTTTTAAAGAAAAATGAGAAATTATACCCCATCTGATTCAAATGTATGATATGTCAAGATCATTGTACTGACATGTATAACTAATTAAAACAAATTTTAAAAATATGGAGAAAAAAGAGAGAGTTATTTTAAGTACGTTCATCCTGGCATCCTATATAATCCTGAACGAGATTTGGGGAAAATCTTGAGGCAATTTGTCAAATAATTACTTTCTTTCCTTCTGTGGCCTTTGAGGTGGGATAAGCAGTAGCCAAGACTTGGCTGAGCTCAAGATGAAAGGTAACGCATGAAAGTCACTAACAGGGGCATGTAAAGATCTGCCACTTACCACGCCCCCATTCCTTGTTTTCCTTTTACGATTTTCTTGACACACTCAATCGTCTTCTTTAAATCTGGATTCAGTAACTCTGCAGGAGAGAATACACTGGAATGACATCACACCACCCTGTGACGGCCGGAATGATGTGGGGAAGGCAGGGAGGACTCACTAGAAAGGCTTCATGTAATTCTAAGAGTCAATCTACTTCTAGATTCTTTTTTTCAGGAAAAACCAGAAGGTAGCAGAATGTTGTCATTTTTTTTAAGCAAATCCATTGGGTTTTTTTCCCTTTATAATTTTGACAATTTGTCCATTAAAGATATACATATATGTCAGCTGTCCCATGACAATCAGTGGAGAGACAGTGGCCGGTATGATAATGCCATCTACCTCCCTCATGGAACCTGCAGGCTGGAGGAGAGGAGAGTCAGAGGCAGCTGTAATCCATGGAGCTGGAAGGATGGGGCAGCTTGATGGGCGGGCAATTAACAGAGGCACGTGATTCAGACTTGAAGGGCCAGGGAAGGGTTATGGGATATCTAGAGGGGCAGGTAAGGAAAAGGGATTAAGGGAATCACCAGAGGAAAAATGTTCCAGGCACAGGAAACAGCATGTGGGAGGGGCCAGCGATGCCTCTCAGGAACCAACCTGTCTATGCACCAGTCCCTCCTTGAGGTGGAAGCCAAGACCTCCCGCTTAGGACTTTTGCAATACCTGTCTTCTCGCCCATCCTTCTAGTCTCCCCTTTCCCTGAACCAGGCTCATAGTATTTTTCCTTAAACATCACTTCATCACTTGCCTCCAAGTTGCCTGTAAACCTGAACCCCAAGCCCCTGGCTTAGTCCAGTGGTGCCCAGCCCCCCTCTCCACTCCATAATCTTATCCCATTGCTTTCTACAACCCTACGTTCAGGACAGGCTGAGGGTGGGAGACTGACAGTGGCCTTCAGGAGTGTGCTCCACCCAGGAGACCCACAGCTTAGGGATCGTGCCCCTTGTTCAGATCATCTCCCAACCCAGATCTGCTCATCCCAAACTGCGGTCCTTAAAAGTCTCCCTGGCCCACTAGCCCATGTGCCAGCTCCCCTCTTCTGAATAAACGCCTCTTTGTCAGTGCTTGCCTGTGGCATGTAGACAGACAGGCAGGCAGACAGACACACACCCTAATCTCAACTACCTCATCCTGTCCTTGAAAAAAGGGAAGGTGTGTTCCCAAGCCCCATGCCATAGGTGTGCCAGAAATGGTGCTCAGCGCTTGACATGCACCAAAACGCCTAAATGCTTCATGAGGTGGGTATTATTACCATCATCTCCATTTCACAGATAACTGAGGCTCAAATCACACAACTGTAAGAGGCAGAGCCAAACTTTGAGTGGCCTCAAAGCCTGTGCTCCTTCTGCCACCACCCTGCCTCCAGGCATAGGGCTCCTCTTGAACTGCCTGCAGTGCTTGGCACAGGCTCTTGTCCCTCTAGGTGGTGACTCGCTTGCTTATGAATCCTAATTGGCTGTGGTTACAAATTCCCAGGGAAAACTGCTTCCCACTCTAGAATGTCCTCACTTCCAGGACTTTATCCTGATAGTGCAGTCATCTGGCTTCGTGGCCTGGTGTGGAGGTCTCCAATGTACGTCCTTACCTGGGTGCACAGTGACCATTAAACCTATGCTTTAGGTAGCATCTGTCTCCCTGAAGAACAGAATAATGGTCAAGTGTGGGTGACATCAGGCCCACAGGGAACCCTCTGCTCCTGCCCTTCAGCCTTGGGTGAGCTCCAATGCTTCCACACTCCTCTACACAGGAGCTTCTCTTCCCGTAGGATGTGGGTCTCCATCTCTCCATCCTAGCTAGCTGCCTGACTCACCTGGTCCTTTCTCACCGTCCACCCTGGCAGGGCAATGCCCATGGTGGGTATGGCCTAACCCAGATCCCTCCTTCTTCCTCCTCCCAGCATGTAAACTCTGGTCATCGAGAAGGCCAACCTCCAAGTGTGACCCCACAGCCCCCAGAGCACCAGCATGGAATGAAAAGAAGTGACCTACCAGAACAGGACACACTACAGAGATTCTTGCCATGGTCACACCACAGGTCCTCACGGATCTGAAAGAGGCCGAAGCCAGTGTGGCCAGTAATCTCATTCTCATACACAGCCGAGGGGTTGAACTTGCTCTCATAATAAGCCAGGCAAACCCCTAAGATGGAATAGAATGGGTGGTCTGAGGAGCTGGGGATACCTGGGCAAGGAATGGAGGGAAAGGAGGACAGAGTGGGATCGGGGATCCTACTCACAGTTTTCAAGTTTGTAACCTTCAAAATAATCCAGGCCTCCTCTGTAGAGCATATCAGCCACGGTGCAACGCCCCAAGACGCGAGCACCACTTGGAACCATGAGGTAGCCAAGGAGGAAGAGCATCACGGATGCCTTCATCTTCTCCAGGCTCCTGGCAGCCCAGCACAACAGAAGCCAAGAAAGTGGATGGAGTCTCAGGTAATTTCCTACCAAGATCACAAGGACATTGTTCCTCCAAGGAGAAGAAGGGCACTGTGCTGGGTGGAGAAAGGAGTATACAATTCGGTGTGTACAAAAAAAAACTCTCCTGACCTTCCCTTCCTCTATCTTGATTCTCTGCCTCGTGTCACTACAAGCCTGGGACACTTGAGGCTCTCTGCCTCTTCTCCTTACTTGACCCCCTATTTTCTAAAGAAACTGCACCCTTGAAGTCTCCCCTCCTCCCTGATTCTTTCCCTCCAACAAACCCACTGTCTTCTTCTAGGGCTGTGTCTCACTCCCTTCTCTCCGACATCAGATACAGTGGCTTCTTTCTTCCCCTTTATGGTAAAAGTCATCAAACACAGTTTGGCAAACAGAAAAAGAGAAAAGAAGGTCATATATCATGATTCCACCATTGGCACTCAAACACTTCTGCCATGTTGAATTTGTTTCGCGGATGCCTTTTAGCTCTAAATATGTCCCCAAGATGTGGTCTGACTCTCTGCACAGTCTTTTCCCCAGATTTTTTTTTTTTTCAAACCAGACTCCACTGAGCTTTTTCCTGACTGTCTACAGAAGGAGACCCATCAAGATGCAGCCCAGACCCGTCCCTTATTAGCTGGGTAACTCTAGATGACTCACTGACTTCTTAGGCCTTTGCTTCCTCACCTCCAAAAGGGGGTCATTTTTGGGGTGCCTTGGAGAATTGACTCTTTCTGGAGGCGGGTACTGAGGATTGAACTCAGGGGCATTTGACCACTGAGCCACATCCCAGCCCTATTTTGTATTTTATTTAGAGATGGGGGTCTCACTGAGTTGCTTAGCACCTCACTTTTGCTGAGGTTGGCTTTGAACTCATGATCCTCTTGCCTCAGTCTCCCAATCTGCTGGGATTACAGATGTGCACCATAGTGTGTTCTCAAAACACATCACTTAGGTAACATTGCTGGTTCCCTCTTCCTTATCATACTTGGTTTTCCAAACCCTCTACCACCAGGAATTTCCCTGCCCACCCTCTATCAGGAGGAACCAATTCAGACAACCCAGAATTCTCACTGTGCTCCTTCTTTGCACCTCCTGGCACCACTCCCCATTGGCCCTGCACCTGCCAGGTCTTACCTGGTGCCCTCATGCTTGGTTCTTCCCCATCCACACGGCCCTACCTTACTCTGCCTTTCCCTACCCAAATGTTGCTCCTGTTCTGGTTTCCACCCCACGTGCCTACTCCTTGAAGGCCGATGGATCTTTTGTGAAAGTTCCCTTTCTCCTCTGAGCCCCTATTTTCTTCAGTCCATTCTATGACATCTAGCAGATGACTGACCTGTTTTGTGTTGTGTCCCATTCCTCACACAAGATGTAATTGGAAGGCTGAGCGCAGTGGCACACGCCTGTAATACCAGCGGCTCAGGAGGCTGAGGCAGGAGGATCTCGAGTTCAAAGCCAGCCTCAGCAACAATGAGGCGCTAAGCAACTCAGTGAGACCCTGTCTCTAAATAAAATATAAAATAGGGCTGGGGATGTGGCTCAGTGGTGGAGCACCCCTGAGATCAATCCCTGGTATCCAAAATGAAAAAGAAAAAGAAGCAATTGGAAACTCCCCCCCACGGCCCCTGACACTTTGTCAATATCTATCAATTGGACAATCAATTGCACATCCTGTTTGTCACTATCCAAAAACACGAGTGCATGCCTTTGGGTTGCATTCACCCACACAGGGGTCCTCAGCCTTGACACTTGCACTGGAAAATTCCTTGTTCTTGGGATGGACCTATGCATTGAAGTTCTTTAGGAGCACACCTGGCTTCCAGATGCCAGTCGATCCCCTCCCTCAATGTGACAAACAAAATGTCCTCTGGGGGCTAAAATTGCTTCCTATTGAGAACAGGGAAATCTCCAATATGGGTAAAAGTGAGAAATAAGTACATTCATAAGCAACAAAAATTGTGCTTGCAACTATTTGCTTCAAGCTGCGTGGCTGGGTGCAGGCATGGTCACCACACCAGCTGCTGTCTGGAGGAGAGTCTGGCATTTGTGAGCCCAGACTTGGCACTCAGATTGCCTGGGGCCAAATCCCAGCTTTTCCTCTCAGCAATGAGGATGTCAGTTGATCTCAGACAAGTTCCTCAACCTCTCTGTGCCTTAATTTTCTCATGCATGACAGTTTAAAATAGTGCTTTCCTAATTGTGTTGAAGAGTAAATGAGTTGAATACACAGAGCACTAGATGTCCTGTGGACATTAGCTCTTTCTGAGCCCTGTTTGCACCCCGTGTTGTTAGTGAACTGAATTTCGATGCATGTGGGGAAGGCTGTTTGCATTTCCCAACAAAGCAAACAATATTTTCTGCCAATATTGTCTGTCTCCCACAAGGCAGGCCCCATCTCAACTCATAAAAGGCATGTTGAGCCCTCTCTCTTTCCTCTTCCCCAGCCGTCAATCCAAAAGCGAGTCTTGTGGTGTTCTTCCAAAACCTATCCACTTCTCACTATCCCTTCTGCCACCATCCTGGTCGGAACCACCACCATCTCTGACTAACTGGAGGTTTCCCAACTATACTCCTCCACCACATTCTTCCTTCTTCCCCTAAATACCCATTCTCCAGGCAGCAGCTCAAAGTCCTTCTTAAAAACATGTACCCAGGGCCCAGCATGGTGGCACATGTAATCCCAGCTATTTAGGAGGTTGAGGCAGGAGGATGGCAAGGTAAGGTGAGCCTCAGAAACTTAACAAGACCCTGTCTCAAAATAAAATTAAATCAGTGGTAGAATGTCCCTGGATTCAAACCCCCAGTACCAGGGATGGAGAGTAGGGTACACATATCCAATCATATTACTTAACTCCAATGGATTCCCCTGTATTTTAAACAGGATCAAAAAACTCTTCCACCTGGCTGACAAGCCCCTTCTTGATCTAACCCCCAAGCAGCTCTCCAGCCTGACTCCACACTACTCCCCATTGTTTGCCTTCACTCCACTTCCTGTCCTTGAACAGGCCGATCTCCTTCCACCACGGGTACTTTGCACCAGCTGTTCCTCCTGCCTAGAACATGATTCCTCCAACCACTACAAGGCTTGATTTTTCCTCGCCTGCTCTCAACTCAAATGAGTTCACCGCTACTAAGAGAATTTCTAGACCCCTGCACCATCACAGAAGAAGGTTTCAATTTTCTCTGGGATGTTATCAGTAATGACCTTGTTCACTTGCCTGTTGCCTGTCTTCCATACCAGAGGGCAACAACCAGGAATGGAGACACCTGGTCTGTTTTGTTTTCTGTTTTATACCCAGAACTTATGGCCTAGTGCTCAGTGACTTTTCGTTGAAGGAATGAATCCACAAATGACTCTTTCAAAGGAAACCGTCATCGGATGAGTATTCAGTGAATTTTCTGACAAGTGTCTCCTCTAGATGGGAATCATCTTACCTGACCCAGCTCCTGCCCACTATATACTCATTTACCAGTCCACTGGTGTTTCCAAAGGCCCTCGGTGCCCCCAGCACGAGGGAAAGAGTAGACACTGCAGCAACTTTAATGTTGATTGCAGGGAATTCACTCTTCCTACATTGGTTCCCTGGAATTTTCAGATAGCACTTTCTTAATAATTCACCCAAGAGCATTTGAACCATTGGTCCTTCTTTATGACTGACTGTTCTAGAATTTTTTTCTATGACCTCAGTTGCAATACATCAGAATATTCTAAGAAAAGGAGAAGTCTGTCACTACCATATGTGTACTGGTTTTCAATTGCTGTGTAACAAACAACCAGGCTGAAACAACACAACAAACTTCAATGATCTTGAAGTTCTGCCACCCAGAAGCCTAACATGGGTCTCACAATGCTAAAATCAAGGTGTGGGCAGGGTCAGGCTCCTTCCTGGCATCTCTAGGGAAGCACCCTTCTCTTGTTCATTGCATTGAATGGCAGAATAAAGGCCCTTGCAGCTGTAGGGCTGAGATCCCTGTTTCCTTGCTGACTGTCACCTGAGGGCCATGCATAGCTACTGGGAGCTATCTGCACTTCCTAACTTTGCTTCCTTTCCTCTGTCTTCAGAGTCAGCAAGAGTGGGCCTCTCTTCCATCTACATGGCTCATTCTTCTGACTTCTCGTCCACTCATAGGGACTCATTTGATTTCATTGGTCACCAGATTCCAGGATAATCTCTATATCTCAAAGACCTTAACCTCAACCACAAAGTCCCTTTTGCCAATAACTATTCAGAGGTTCTAGGGCTTAGGGCATGGACACTGTTGGGGAACCAGGGCTTCACCAGCTACAGGATTCTCCTGGGCCCCTACAAAACTCCTTCTGGGTGGAGCAAAGGAAGAAGCCTTTCTCACAGTGGGCCCATAGTCAAGGACATGCTCTTTTGGGGGCCTGGGTAACTTCATTTGTGACATGGGTGACCAGACTGGGTTATCGCTAAGATCCTCCAAGCTCCAGAAGTCAGGATATGTTGAGGTGATTAGGGGTAAATTGGCCTTTTGAAAGCCAAAAGTGCATCTTGGTGACTTAATTAATACTGGCAATTTGTTGATTGATTTAAATGATATAGTGAAGGATCCTAAGAGAAAAACTTATTCTACATTTACTCCTTCAGCAAAGACTTTTTCATAATTCGCCTTTGTCAAGTACCTCAAAGAACTCTTCTTGGTTTTGATTATTACTGAAACTTTAGAGACCAACATGCATTTGTATGGGATGGTTGGTCCCCTTACCTTAAGTTTTATATTCCTATAGTTTTCTATATACCTTAAGTTTTATATTCCTGTAATTTACAGATTCGTACTGATGGTACATCTCTACTTCCTTTAACCTTTCAACTGTATTTTCAAAAACTCACCAGTACTATTCACTACCTAGAACATTTTTCTACTTTATGTACTTTTTAAAGATAATCCTGAATGATTATGTTTTCCAGAAAAACTTTAGTCAAGAGGGATTCTTTCGACTTAATAGGTACTTCACAGAAGAAGTACCTATTAATTGATTGACTGATTTCCCCTTGGGACATGGGGAAAATGGAGAAACTTTGATTGGGCAAAGGGAAGAGATGGTGACAGAAAAGAATCAAAGTAGTGAGGCTAGGTACATGTATGACTGCATATATTCTACATCATGTACAACCAGAGAATCAAAAAGCTGTGCTCCATTTATGTACAATGAATTGGAATGCATTCTGCTGTCATATATACCTAATTAGAACAAATAAATTTTTAAAAAATGTTCAACATCTCTAACAATTAGAGAACTTCAAATTAAACACAACACTGAGATTTTATCTCACTCCATTCAGAATGGGAATTATCAAGAATACTAATCACAATAAATGCTGGCAAAGATGTGGGGGAAAAGGTATACTCATACATTGTTGGTGGGATTGCAAATTAATGCAACCACTCTGGAACGAAGTATGGAATCCTCAGAAAACTTGGAATGGAACCGCCATTTGACCCAGTTATCCCACTTGTTAGTATGTACCCAAAGGACTTAAAATCAGCATACTATAGTGACACAGCCATGTCTGTGTTGATAGCAGCACAACTCACAATAGTTAAACTATGGAACCAACCTAGGTGCCCTTCAACAGATATATGGATAAAGAAAATGTGGTACAAATACACAATGGAGGGGCTGGAGATTTGGCTCAAGCGGTAGCGCGCTCGCCTGGCATGCGTGCGGCCCAGGTTC